AAATGCTGCCAAGTTGGCCCATTTTCATAGATGACAGAGCATCGAGAATTTCCCCAGACCCCCTGTAACCCAGTGATAGGGCATTTCACTCAAGAGCTTGTTGGAAGCTGTCGACAAATCCTGCAAAGTTTATAGAAATAGGTGGAGGTGGGGCATGAAATTATGCAAGTTTGTTAATCTAATTGCCCATGTTGGGGGTGTTGGCTATGTGTGTTTTGGGGGTGGGGAAGCACTCAGGGTAGTATTTCATGCAAAGGAAAGTTAATTAAAAGAACATGGGCCACATGTTAATGAGCCTCATGTCTTGAGCGTGTGGTAACATTTCCTTGCAATCCAACTTCCAAGTCAGTGTCCTCTGTCTCGACCACATGTGCATAAGATACTGAAGACTGGAAGTGGAAGGATATCAACGATCTGTGTGTATATGAGGTCTGTATTGTCCAAAGGTTTCTGCTACCGGGGAAACTCCTCACTAGGGTGAGTTGGGTGGTCTTCTTGGGGTAAACTGGAGCCTCATTCTGAGCTCTATCTCCTGGAAAGGTTAAATATATCAGACAGCTATTCAGAAGGTAGGAAATATTGAGGTTTTAACCTGCCCTGCCCCTGTCCATCTCTGAGATTCTTGCCTCCAGTGTCCTGACAGATCCAACCTTTGCTAGCAAAGGGGAGGCCAGCCCTCCATTTGTGATACCATTTGACCGGGCTCACAGGACAAGCAGGTCAAGGGCAGTGGCAGAGACTTGTAACAAAAATGTGGGACTCATGTTCCAAGAAGAATAACAAGGGGAGGGCAGATAGAGAGAGAGTGGGTGTCATTTGGCAAATGATATGTCTATGCATCAGTTCCTTATCAAAAAACTAGAAATCAACCAATCACAGTGGCTCACACCTATATTTCCAGCAATGGAAGACTGAGGGAGAAAGATTGCTACAAATCCTAGGCCCACCTGGTATAGAGTGAGACCTTGTGTCAAGAGAGGAAAAAAAAAGCAATGAAATGAAAAACAAATATAAGACTAGAAAATCTCATTATGCATTGGTTCTCATACATTTTATTCCCTGCCAGTTTGAATAGTCAACAATGTGCCAACGTCAGTGATACTGGAGAAAAAGTCAAATAAAATACACAAATATTTTAAATATGCCAAACAGACTCTACGGAAGAGAGCTACAATGAATTGGCCACAATAATTCAAAAGAACATACCATCAGATGGAAAAATCTATACACTATAATCTATCTTAATTTTCAGAAAAACTAAAGATGTAAAAAGAACCCAGAGTCAATGTACAAAAATGTCATGAGTGGTTGTCCTGAAAAAACTTCCCTACCGTCAGCATGGAATGTTTGTAATACTGTCAGAAATTAAAAGATGAATGAAAATCAGCCAGGCTTATCAAAAAAAAAATTCTAAATTAACCTAAACTTAAAACATAAATTCAGGGGCTGGAGAGAAGGCTCAGCAGTTATGAGCACTGACTGTTCTTGCAGGGGACCTGGGTTTGTCTTCCAGCATCCACATGGTGACTCACCAATGTCTGTTACTCCAGTTCCAGCTGATCCAACACCCTTTTCTGACCTCTGCAGACACCAGGAATGCACATGGTGCACATACAGCCATGCAGGCAAAACACTCATGCACATAAAATAAAATGAATAAATCTAAAACCAAAAACTAAATCCACTGAAAAACTAAAAGCTTAGAAAACTAGTCTCTTTTGTTATTTTCAAATGTGACTAAAATCTTGTCTCCACTTTGTTTTGAAGTGTGCTTTCTTTCCACTCAACTATAGACTAGCTCCTAAGCCAAGCAGCCAGGAATCCCAGATTCTAAGTCGAACCCCTTACACTAATGGTGGGTTCCAACCTCTGGTCCTGCCACTGAACTGCCTGCTCAAAGGTGACGAGACAGAGGGGAGGAGGGGGAAGGGCCAGTGGCGAACCAGAGAAGTGACAGTCACACCAGTTCTGTTCTTCAGATCCCATGATCCAGTCCATGTGTCAATAATGGGGTCTCCGTAAATCTGACACTTTGGGACCATCACTATCTCCTCATTTCCGCTCAGGTACAGTTGAACCAAGTTGTTAGAACTGGGTTTGCCATAACTTTCTTTATATTAAGTTCTATTAAAGCCAGACAACCAAAACCTCAAGGGGCATTGCTGAGAAGCAATCCATCCAAAGGGCTGTAGAAATCTAGTAGTTCTAGCCCCAATTTTCTCCTCCATTATTTTATAGATATGCTTGGACCATGCAGATCCACACACTCCCTGGCCCATCCTCAACTTTGTCCGACAGACAGTACTCTCTCTTTCCTGACTCTTTGGGAATGCTGTAAGAACTAGGACAGCATGGAACCCTACTGGTGCTCTACAGTAGAAACACAAAAGACACTGTTTATTCACAAACATAAGTATGGAACTGATATAGTACGTCAGATGAAATAAAGAAATACAGGTGGGAAGTTGCCTGTGAGAGTTTTCCATTGCTAGATGTGAAATGACCCCACCCTGGCACCAACTCTGAAGTCACTGACAGTTGAAAACTGACAATTTTCTTGAAGGTGACCTTTAATGGCTGGAAGATCAATTTCTAATGCATCCTCTTAGGTAATACTGCTATAACATTATTCCCAGGCCATTGCATGCAAGAAACTAACCATTTCACATACAGAATTTGAATTCATGTTATTTTCATTACAACTCAAGAGAGTAAGGTTGGAAGACCTTCTGATGGAATCCTGCCTCTCACAGAAGCAGCTCCCATGGAAACTTTCAACCAAATCCATCCATTAAAAAAAAAAAACAACAACAACACTGTTCTCTGTGGGACTGGACAGATGGCTCAGAGGTTAAGAGCACTGGCTGCTCTTCCAGAGGACCCAGGTTCAATTCTCAGCACCCACATGCAGCTCACGCCTGCCTGTAACTCCTGTACCAGGGGATCTGACACCCTACACAGACATACATGCAGGCAAAACATCAGTGCACATAAAAATAAATAAAATGAGTGAAAACTAAGAAGCTGTTTTCTGGCCTCCAAGTGACTGATGATAAAACTTGCAGAACCTTTCCATGCTGCTTCTAAAGTCTGGAAGAAGTTTCTACACAAGGAATCTGAGTGCTACAAAGCTGGCTGTTCCAGCAGGAGCCTGTCACTGTCACTGTCACTGTAAAATCGCATCCCCAAATGCCAGGACTTAGAAATCAAAGGGGCTAAAAGTCCTGTAGGAAGTCCTCCATTGTTTTCATGTTGTTATTTTCCTGCTAAGGTTTAAAACCACCTCTCACTTCTTCTTCTTCTTCTTTTTTTTTTTTTAAGACCAGGATGTGCTATAGGAATCTATAAAACTTAATTACATTTACTGTTACAAAAAAGGATTTATGAACTCTTGCCTTGAGGCAGAAATGTTTATTTCATTGCCTTTACCATCCCAGTCTTTTCAACTCCTGTGGCTTTGAACTTCTCAGCTGCTAGGAGTTATCACCATTACACAGAGCCCGAGCGCTCCACTCCGAAGACGCATACCACAAGTTGAAGAAGCCAGGGAAGGCAAAGATATATGAGTCGTTATTTTGGCCACCCTTTGTGCCATTAAAATCTCATTTTCTGCCTATTAGAATACCCTCTCGGTGCTTAGGCAGCGGTGATAGCCCGTGATTAGTGTGTAATTGGGTATAATTGTCTTTTCATTTTCTATTTGTGTCATTCTAAGCCTCTCTCTGTTTTCCTACCCACCAAGAAGAAAAGAGAGGTAGAGGAAAGAGAAAGCTGTTAAAACTCTCGCTCCGGAGCCCCAAAGAGATCCTCGATTGCAATTATAGATTGCCATCCCTTTGTGACATTTCTCCGAATTTAGTGGGTGGCTCTCCTCGCCACCTGGGCCAACTGCTCTCTCTCTCTCTCTCTCTCTCTCTCTCTCTCTCTCTCTCTCTCTCTCTCTCTCTCTCTCTCTCTAATAAAATCAAGCTATCTGTATTTAAACAACTACTAATAACGTCAAGTTCAGACAGATGCCACATGTAGGAAATTTAACCATCCTTCTGACATGCAATTATCAGGGCAATTTATTAGTGTAATCCCCCAATGAAAGCTCATAGTCCAATGCAAATTACAAAAACAATTACACACGTCCAAATATTTATATAGTCCCAAAGACTAGCAATTCTCCTAATTTGTGTTCCAATACCTCATTCATTCCAGATTCTGCAGTCCTCAGCTGGGTCTCTCTCTCTTCTCTCTCTCTCTCTGTCTCTCTCTCTCTGTCTCTCTCTCTGTCTCTCTCTCTGTCTCTCTCTCTCTGTTTCTCTCTCTCTCTCTCTCTCTCTCTGTCTCTCTCTCTCTCTCTCTCTGTCTCTCTCTCTGTCTCTCTCTCTGTCTCTCTCTCTCTCTCTCTCTCTCTCCTCTCTCTCTCTCTCTCTCTCTCTCCCTGCTTCCTTCTCCTTCTCCTTTCCCCTCCTCCTCCCTCTTCTACTTTCCTGCTTCCCTCCTTCCCCTCCCCCCTCCCCCTCTTCACTTCCCCCTTCTCTCTCTCCACAGCTTTTTTTCTGCTTCCCCTCCAATGGTTATGGCAGAGCTTTTGGTGTTTTCTGATGAGGATTCTCCCTCAAAATTCTGTCAGCCGAGCAAATGCCATTTGAAACAGACAAACAAACAAAAACTGAAAGGAAAGAAACCCTGGCAAATTTGTAAGGCTTTCTCAACCAAAGCTCAGAGCTAAGGACAGGGAAGACATATGACAAGTGCCTTGACAGCTGACTATAAACACAGAGTGCCCATGATTGCATTCGAAGTCACTTGAATTGTAAGTCTAGGCTACAACGTTTGATGCCTCCAGTCGAAAGGGAAGAAGGAAAGGAAACTCGAAAACTGAAATCATGTGGCTTGTATAAAGAATACATTATGGTTTACATTTGGCAATTCATTATACCGCTGCCTCGGGGAATTGACGATTTGGTTCTGGTAACGGCAAATCATCTGTCTAGAAACACAGAACTGACCTGAGGTGAAAGGCCATTGCCAATGGCGGGGTTCATGGGGTTGGAGGGCCCCGACGGAGGCACAAAGCTGTCTGTATAGCTTGAAAATCCATGCCTGGTGCTGGGGAGGCAGTAGGCAGAGCTGCTGTCTGGGTTCGAAGGAATAGTGCTTTGGTGTACAGTGCTCGGTGGAAGTGGTTGAGGTCTGTGAACGGTGCTGCTGGGATCTGACACGGCTGAAAGGAGAAAGAGGCTCAACCATGACGCTCTCTGGTAGACCAGCAGAATGAGTGCACTGCAGAAGTTCCCGTTAGCAGTGACCTATTCGGTCAGATACTACGAGAACTCCAAGTGCACTTCCTACTGATCAGCTGTAGAGCCACACAACAAATACAGTTACATCTACCTTGGCATGTGTCTAAGCACATAACTATGTATAAACTCCCAGTTCACACTCACCTAGAATATGAGCACAGATACCACATTGGCAACACTAACAAGCCAATTTGGGTAGTGAACACAATGGCATCATTACAGGTACCAAATTTCTCATCAAATGTACTCTTTTTTTAAAAAAAAAAAAAAAGTTTATTTATTTGTATTTTACGTGCATTGTTTTGTGACTGCGTCAGATCTTGGAGTAACAGACAGCTGTAAGCTGCCATGTGGGTGCTGGGAATTGAACCCAGGTCCTCTGGAAGAGCAGCCAGTGCTCTTAACCACTGAGCCATCTCTCTAGCCCATCAAATGTACTTTTAAAGCACCAATGCATGAACAGAACATCAGAGTTCAGAGCATTGCAAACACTGTCTTCCACAGGCCCGAAAGAACATTCTTACAATTTAACATTATCCCATTTCCCTCTTGCCATAACAAATTACGACTTTATCAAAGCTCACATTCCCTGAATTACTGTTGCAACAAGTTATGATCCTAGAACCTCAGTTGATTGCAACCAGGGATATAAATACAGTGCTCAGGTTTTAACAAAAGCAGGGGGAAAATCCCATATTTCTTTGGGAAAGTTGCATTGTTTTTAAATAATGAAATAGTGTTACAGCACAGCACATTTTATCTAAAGAGCTTCAGATATAGCACAAGCTACTTCTGAGACATGGCAGGTATGCACGGGGAAAGCTGACGTCATATGATTGGCACACCAACAGCATCAATGTCAGCATAACAGGCAGAATTCACGGTGTAAAACAGCCAATGGGAAGCAATCGGGAGCTGCATCCTTATCACCCTGTTTTTCTTCCTAGATACCTTGCGGAATAGACGTGGGCTGGTAAGAGGTCTCCGACAGCTGGTATGTTGGCAAGGTCGGCATGGCGGTGGGAGGGAATCCCCCCGGAATGAGATGGTTGAAAGCCATCAGTTGATTGGCCCCAGCTTGCTTCCTCCATCTTGCACGGCGGTTGCTGAACCAGACCTATGGATTTAATTTAAAATTTGAGGATTTCACTGATGAAATAATAGTACATTCTTAATGAATTTTTCATGCTAAAACAGATTAAAGGGCCCTTACTGACAGGGCAAATACAGACAAGAGCCCCCTGTCTTCTGTCATATGTTGGGGAGAAAGGAGAGTTAAATGTCAGGGGTCAGGAAAGGGGCTGCAGGGACCCTATGTGGACTTGCATCAGTAAAGCTGGTAATGACCCTGGGCAGGGACTACTAAACAGGGTTCAGAAAAGTGAGCGTTCTTTACCGATGTCCTCAATGCCATTGCACCCTCATATCACAGCCTTCCAGGAAGTCCATGAGGCACTTGGACACCCCCAACACACCAACATTCATATATAGGGTGCGTGTCCTAAATTTGACCTTGCCAATTGCATACTCGAAGCCTTAGGCTTTATATTCATACCAGTCTATTTCTGTATGGCTATAATCAGTGTAAGTATAGGCCCTAGAGCAGTGGTTCTCTACCTTCTTAATACTGCAACCCTTTAATACAGTTCCTCATGTTGTGGTGACCCCCAACCATAAGATTATTTCATTGCGACTCCATAACTGTAATTTTGCTATGGTTGTGAATTGTAGTGTAAATATCTGTGCTTTCTGATGGCAAACCCTACGAAAGGATCATTTGAACCCCCCATAGTGGTCACGACCCACATGTTGAGAACCACTGTTCTAGAGAGTCACATGAGCTAAACATAAATTCATCCAAGTAGAGCCATTTTACTACCTTTTTCAAAGTGTGAAACATCACTCTGATTTCAATTAGAATAGCTGCCGATGAAGATCCCCAAAGAAAAAAAGGAAAGCATTTTGCAGTGAAAATCATTTCTTTTGGTACCTGTGTTATGCCCTGTGTTGAACACTATACTAATCACCTATATTCAGAAAAATCTGTTGGAAAATAATTTGTCTTCCAGTAATTCAAAATCCCAGTCTTCTTGTGTGTCAATGGAAAAGAGAAAAAGATACCAACCAGAAATATAACTGAATGTCTAACATGTTGAATGGTGTTATACAGGTTTTTAATAAACTTCAAGATCTTGCCCAACTGTGATTTAAATCTGCATCATTAAGATGTAAAACTTGGAGTAAATTTTCCAGGGCGTACACATAGGAGTCTTCTCTTGTGGTGTGGTAAATTCTATCAATCAAAAGTATTATCATCTTTATCGAAAGCTCACTGAAACTTAACATGGAGAAACACATAGCATTTAAGGTTGAAGGTTAGGAGGAGATAAGATGGGAGCTTGGCCTTCAGGCAACCTCCTTTATGGAGCCCAAAAGAATTTCTCACAGGACACAGAAGCTCCATGTTAGGAAATCAAGGAATCAGAAAAACTTTAGGTCGGGACAAAGTTTCTGCTCATTTTAAAAGTTGGATGTAATTGTCACAAGGATTATATCTCTAAATAAAGGCCACAGTAGAGAGTAGAAAGATGTGATCAGCTTGGCTAAGAAAAAAGAATCCGATAGGGAAAGTCCTTGCCTAGAATGTACATGGGAGATAATTTGCAAGAGTCCATTCCCTCCACTATATAGGTTCCAGGGGTTGAACTCAGGTCGTGATCAGGTTTGGTGGTACCTTTACACACTGAGCCATCTCACTAGTCCCAAATATTACCTTTTAATACTCCTTATGTTTCCAAGAGGAAAAGAAGGCAATCCAGTATTTTCCCGTGTTGATAAATAATTGAGTTTGAGCTTCACTTGGCTTAATAAATCACCGCCTGGTGTAGTGGAACCATGAACATTCTATTTCAAGCCTGCATTTGGTTATGTTTCTCCTTGGGAGTCTACACTAGTATGACTCCCAAAGGCATCATGGGAAGAAAATCAAGGAAGAGCTTGGCATCATCCATGTTATTGGAAGAGTCTAGGGGTGAGAATTCATGCCTGAAGGTACTTAACCTACCACCCACCCACTGCAGTCAAACTTTACACAACAAAGGGACAAGTTTAAAAGGCCCTCTGGTTCAGAAAAGGTTGGTCCATCACTTATATAAAATCAACTACATGCCACAGAATTCCAGATTTCTGTGCTACCCTGGGAAAAGTAAACTCCTAGATGTCCTAAGGTGACTTCATTCACGTATTCACGATCCTGAATTCCAGTGACCCCTCCATGAAGCACTCAGAAACCTGTACTTGGAGGTTGCTGAAGCATGTTGCCCAGCTCTCTACCCACTGCCTTCTATAAGCTTTAGATAAACAAGCCAACTTGGATTGACCAGAGTTGGCTCTGCCTGAGCTCCCCAAGAAGCTCAGGACACCACTGCTTCCTTCGAAGAGCATTCTACCAATACCACAGACCAAGGTTGAAAAGTAGAAGTCTAAAGCCACGCCTTTAATCTCAGGGAGACAGGAGCAGGTGGGTCTCTGTGAGTTCAAGGCCAGCTTGGTCTACAAAGTGAGTTCTGGGACAGCCAAAACTGTTTCGCAGAGAAACCCTATCCCCTCCCTGCTCCCCTAAAAAGAGAAAAGTAAAAGTTGTCTTTGCTCAAATAATGAACAAACACCACCACTTTTCACAATTACCTTCAAAAAACAGAATCCAAACAAAGTGGCTAAGGATTTGAAGTTTGTGCTCATTTTATTTTTCCAAACTGATACGACTAAGTATTTGAGAAGTAGCATAAACCCATGAGGGGTTTATTTTAAAATGTTTATTGCATGGTACCTTCTATAGCTACAATGTAAAAAAAAAAAAAATGACAGGAAGGAGCTAGGTGTATACCTCAGTGGTAAAGAATTTTCCTAGCATGTAAGAGGTCTCAGGTTCAAACTCAAGCATTACAATAAAAAAAAAAAAATCAGTAAAAATAGTTGAGATGCAAACCTTTACTAAAAAAAACAAACTTTCACCAGGAAGTTCAGGGTTCCCAAAGGAAATCATCCTGTTTCAACTGAAGCTCCCAATATCCAGAACGCTGTTCTAGAGAAAACCATGCCCAGTGAGGAATGAGCTGCTTGTCTCCGGCCATTTCATCAGAGGGTTTTAATGATCTAGCTAAGGCCAACCTTGGTGCTTCTAGCCCCACCCATGCCTGCCAGACACATTGCTAATGCTGAAAATGGGATTTAGCCTTTGCCTGGTGTTTTGAAACTCAGGAAGCATCTTCAATTTCCACTTGGAAAAAGAAAAGATGCCCTTGAAATGACCTTTATTTTAAATACCTTTGTCGACCAAACATGGGATATTGGAATGTTGTCATCACCCTATACTTAACTAAAGAAAAAAACAGTCCCTCTGCTCGGATACCTCTTATAACTCAGCATTGAATTATCAATCCCTAACAGGCAATCAACACATAACCTGCTATATCAGGTGAATGCAGGATACAGAATGGGTCCATCCCCAACAGGTTGAGAGACTTTATGACATGGTTACAATTCTTAGAAATGTCTCCTTGTTAGGGGCTGAAAGAATGTTAGGGGCTAAGATGTTTAGAGCACTGGCTGCTCTTCCAGAGGACCCGCGTGATGGCTCTCAACTGTCTGCAACTCCTACAGTTGTTGGGTGATCCAAACCCCTTTTCTGGGCTCCTCATGCACTGGATATACTCATGTGGTACACAGATACTCATGCAGGCCAAACACTCACACACATAAAAAAAAAGTATGTTATTGAAGAAATATCTCCATATTTTGAAAAGAGCAACCATAACAACACAAACAAACTGGCTTTTGATGTCCCAAGAATGTCTTTGCCAATAAGGCAGAAAGAACAAGGTTGACAAAGTCAGCTACGTATCTGTTAAGTGTGATTCTATAATCTCTAAGTCAATGTAATTTTACTCTCTCCACGGCACCTCTTCTGGCTTTCCCGTCACTGCCAACATGTTGAGCAAGTGAGGGCAGGAGGCGCGCATTGCTTGATGGTCTACTGTCATATACAGTTAACTGCCTGTAGTTGTCTGTATAATATCAAATATGTTAAATAGACCCCAAAGCAAGTTCTTATTTCAACTGATGACTAGCAGCCCGACTCATTTTCACCTGCCCAAAGTCTTTTCATTTTGCCATTGAGTCCATCAACAAAGTGATAGCTACATTTCTTTAAAAAAATAAAAATGACCTCCAAGTGGATTTCCACAATATTATAATATCCGCCGGTTACGTGGGGTAAAATTCAAACCATTCAAAAGTTCTCTATAATATCATGATAACCATGATGAGGAAAGGATAATGGGTTTCAAAATAAGAATACAATTTTCACAAAGTTTCCCTCTATGAGTGAAGTTGTTCAAACTCAACCCTGTATAACCTGGGGTGGGGAGAATTAGTACTTCCACGGTGAAAATGCTCTTTATTCAGCTAGGCACCACGTTGAGCAGTCGAAAGTCAAACCCTAGCTCCCCACCTGCCACTGCTTTGACCTTGACTGCTTTTCTTAGTGTCTGTGGAGTTCTGTTCTCTCGTTTGCTAAATGAGAGCTACACAAAACTACTACTGCAAGGCACTTCGGGGATCATTTAAGAAGACAATGTGGCAACGCACTTGAAAGGATGTGTAGGAGATATTAAGTGTTCAATAAATATGAGGTATTAAATGAAAAGCTCGTGTGGACGTTTCTGAGAAAACCTCATTAAAGCCTGGCTTGGTGTCCTCCACTCTGCAATCCACAGCCAGAGCCTTTGGTGGCAATGAGTAAACAGAGAAGTGCCCGCGGAACACCTCAAATAATTGAGAGCCAGGTTGACTTGAATGGTGGCTTAGGTCAAATTTGCTTCCAAGTTTCATGGATTAGTGCTAATTGTCCCGTGGTGTGAGCCTAATTTTACCCATCAATAAATTACTTGTTCACATTTTTTGGTTGGCCCTCACAGGCAGCCTAACCTACATTATTCCAGATGGGTTATTTCAAATGCAATTTGAAAAAAGAAAAAATGGGAAGGAAAACATAACACTCGATCCCCTGAAAGAGAATCCCACAGGATTGTAAAATGCTTCACTGAACACTCGCTT